TGGCACTTTTATTCAAAATACTATTGGAAGTTCTAGCTACAGCAGTTCGATCAGAAAAAGAAGTAAAAGGCATACAATTTGGAAAGGAAGTAAAATGGCCACTATTTATAGATGACATGATGCTATTTGTAGGAAACTAAAGGCTCCACCAAAATAACTCCTGGTGCCAATAAATGAATTCAGTAAATTTTGTGGAGTACAAAATTAATATATAAAACTATTGTATTTCTATACACTAATAAATTATCAGAAAGAGAAATCAAGAAAACAATCATTTATGATTGCATCAGATGGTATAAAATACCTTGGAATATGTTTAACCAGGGGAGTGAAAGACTTGTATACTGAAGACTAGTAAGACACTGATGAAAGAAATTGAGGAAAACACAGATAAGTAAAAACATATTCCATGTTCATGGATTGAAGAATTAATATCGTTAAATATCCATGCTACCCAAAGCAATATACGGATTCAGTGCAATCCCTATGAAAATTCTCATGGCAATTTTTAGAGACCTAGAGCAAATAATGCTAAAATTTGTATGGAGTCGCAATAGACTCTGAATAGACAAAGCAATCTTGAGAAAGAAAAAACAAAACCAGAAGTATCATGCTCCCTGATTTCAAACTATACTACGCAATTACAGTAATCAAAACCGTATGGTACCGGCTTAAAAACAGCCTCATAGATCAGTGGAACAGAATAGTGTGCCTAGAAATAAACTAAAACATATGTGATCAATTAATCTATAGCAAAAGGAGCAAGAACAATGCAATGAGGAGAGGATAGTTTCTTCAATAATTGGTGCTGGGAAAACGGGACAGCTACATGCAGAAGAATGAAAGTGGACCACTATCTTCCACCATTCACAAAAATTAACTCAAAATGGATTAAAGTCCAAAGTAAGACCTGGAACCATAAAATTCCTAGAAGAAAACATTGGCAGTAAGCTCTTTGACTTTAGGCTTAGCAATGGTTTTTTTTTTTTTTTTTTTTTTTTTTTTTTTTTTTTTTTTTTTTTTTTTTTTTGATCTGATTCCAAATGCAAAGGTAATAAAAGGAAAAATAAATGTGTCTACATCAAACTAAAACGCTTCTGCATAGTGAAAGAATCCATCAATAAAATGGAAGGCAACTTGCTGAATGGGAAAAGACATTTGCAAATCATATATCTGATAAGGGGTTATTAGCACCTAAAATATATAAAGAACTCATACAACTTAACAACAAAATATAATCTGGTTAAAAAATGGACAGAGGCTCTGAATAGACATTTTTCCAAAGAAGACATACAGATAGGCAACAGGCACATGAAAAGATGTTCAACATCATTAATCATCAGGGAAATGCAAAATAAAACTACAATCAGATATCATCTCATACCTGTTAAAACAGCTTTTATAAAAAAGACAAGAGATAACAAGTCTTGGAAGGATATGGAGATAAGGGAGTCTTCATGCACTGGTGAAGATACCATAGAAAACAGGATGGAGGTTCTTCAATAAATTAAAAATAAAACTACCATATGATCCAACAAATCCACTTCTTGGTATCTATGCAAAGAAAACAAAATTACCAATTCAAGAAGATATATGCATCTCTGTCTCTATTGCAGCATTATCCACAGTAGTCAAAATAGGAAAACAACTTAAGTATCCATCCGTCAATAAATGAATGAATAAAGAAGACCTCTCTCTCTCTCTCTCTCTCTCTCTCTCTCTCACACACACACACACACACACACACTGGTATATTACTCAGTCATGAAAAATGAAATCTTGCCATTTGTGACAACATTGATGGACCTTGAGGGTATTATGCTAAGTGAAATAAGAGAAAGACAAATCCGCATGATTTCAATTCTAATTGGAATCTAAAAAACAAAACTAACAAACGCATAAACCAGAACAAAACTGAGATTCATAGATACAGAGAATAGAGTGGTGGTTGCCAAAGGAGAGGGGATTTGGGGATATGAAGTAGGTAAACAGAAACAAGAAGTATAAACTTCCAGTTATAAAATAAGTAAGTCATGGAGATGTAATGTACCGCACAGGGAATTCAGTCAGCATTTTATTAACTCCGCATGGTGATTGATGGTGATTAGATTTATTGTGGTGACCAGTTTGCAGTGTATACAAGCATCTAATCACTATGTTGTACACATGAAGCTAATATAATATTGTATGTCAATTGTACATCAGTTTAAAAAATGATGAAATCATTTGTAGTGTTGATTATCAAGGAGAAGTAAAGCAAATGTTTACTCCCAATATAGGAGGCTCAAATGCCTGAGCCAGCTATCAAAGTTCATCTTACTTTGTATCATTAAGAAAGAAATAAAAAGGAGACAATATTTCGGGAAATGATTTCAACTATCAATTAATGAGAAGTTTGCTGTTAACCATAGCTATTAAGTTTCTTTTATTACGTGGAGAAAACATCTTATAAAGGAAGTAACTTTCAAGAATGATTCTTACTCTTAATAATAGGACTCTGTTTTAACATAAGGATGTATTTAAAACAAGCAAGAAATATGTAAGTAGTATATAAATGTATAATACTTAACACAGTGCTTAGGAAATTATGGCTATTCATACTCTGGGTGACTCAACATTCAGGCAAATGGAAAAGAAAGAATTTATTGTGTGAGATTTTCTGAGTATTTGGAACTAGTGTAGTAGGGCAATTCTAGTATGAAAGAGTTCATGCTGGAGATTAATCTTCAACAAATTTATGACTTGCTCTGGCTCAGAAACTTAAGATCAACTGTTATTCAAGGGCAATGTCTAATAAGTGCAGACTTTAGCCTCACATTTATATGCAAAATTAGTAGCTACAATAGGAACCAGATTGTTACAAGGATTGTATTACTTCAATCCATTTTATTTATTTTATTTTAATTTTTTTTAAGTTTCTCCATTTATTTTGAGAAAGAGAGAGAGAACAAGCAGGGGAGGGGCAGAGAAAGAGCAGTGGGGAGACAGAGGGAGAGAGGAAGAGAGAATCCCAAGCAGGCTCTGCATTGTCAGCGCAAAGCCCAATGCAGGGCTTGAACTCATGAACTGCGAGATCATGATCTGAATTGAAATCACTATGACATCATGACGCGAGCTGAAACCAAGGGTCAGATGCTTAACCAGCTGAGCCGTCTAGGTGCCCCACTTTAATCCATTTTAGAATATGCCTTCAAGAACAAGGTTCATCATCTTTTGTTTTTTAATTGTTTAGGGTGAGTTCCCCTGGTTCTCTGTATCTCTGGTGTTCTTCCCTTTATTCATGAAATAAGTTCAGTTTTCTTTATTTGGACCATGTATGGTTATAATGTTTTTATTTAGCACAAAACACTGAGTCACCTGCATGTTAAGTGCTCAATTATATGCCTCAGAATCTATGACTAAAGTTGCTTAATGTTCCACTTTCAGAAATTTTTATGAAGCGTTTTGCTTTAGCTAGAGAATATCTTCCTATAGTGTGCTTGAATTTTGAAATCTCCACTCTCCACTGGGCATAGATTAGTATCTATAAAATCAACTCCATAGCTTTATGAAAACCTCACCTCAGAACTGGATATGTTAAAACATACTTATTCCTTATGAAGAAGAGAGTTTTAACAGTTGCTTCTGTGAGAGGTTGGCAAGAATACAGAGTATTTCCTGAAAATAGTTATAGTACAAATAGGCACATCAGAGATTTGTGGAACACATATTTCACTGTACAAGCTGGTTAGTTCATTAAAAACTAGCTAATGTGTGAATTAATCGAAAGATAGACCAAAACACTTTAGTCTGGGACTTGGGTTCTGTCACTTCAGGATGATTCTTTAATTGTTAGTGCTGAGCACACCACTTTCCCTTATCACATGCAGAAAACATACTATACTTTGGTATCACTCTATTTCTTTATTGTTGTTTGGAAAATGTTATTAATGTGATATTTATATTTTTCATAGTAATATGGCAGTTGGAATAAAAACCTAGTTAGATGAGTGTTGTAATCTAGAATACAAACCTAGTTAGATGAGTGGGATAAAAACCTAGTTAGATGAGTGTTGTTCCATTTTAAGTTGGAACCTTGAATTTGGAATTCTAGGAGCTCACCTTTACATTTTGATCTTTCAAAGCTTTTTAAGTTACGTGAGCCACTAAAGCAGCTGCCTTCGGCTACTGAAATTATGAAAACAGAGTCACTGAGGTCTCATCTCTATCTGAGGAAATTCTCTGTTTCTGGAACAACTGCCATGGATGTACAAATCTAAGTCTGTTATTTTCAAATTTCAAGAAACCGTGTAACAATACAGATATAAACAACCAGTTGAGAAACCTATTAAAAGGAAAATGTCCAGAAGTTAAAATAACAGTTGTGAAAAGTAAAGCAAAAATAAATTATTAAGTTCTCAAGCATATTCTTCCCGATCAAAACACCCTCCAAGTAGAGGTTGGAATGGATTCATCAGAGAGAATCTTGTTTCAATTTTGAGTGAAATCTGCTGCTATTGTTTTTGCCTTTAGTGACAAAGTCACATAGCTAAAGCCTGCAGTGTTATGTGTACATGCAAATACTTTTTATATTTTTCTCAGTGTTCCAGAGAAAGACTCTAAAGCAAAAGATAATTTTGGTTGATCTTGGAAAATGTAGTCCTAAGAGAAAGTGGAGTCCCATTTGGTAACGATGTAACTTTTTATAATCATTCCTGCAGTGTTGAAAAAAGCAGTGAGATTAAAAAAAAAAGTATAAGAACATAAAGCATATACATGCAAAACAACCCAAAGTATGTTTTTGATAATCCACCTTTTTCCCCCCCAGATTAACTTATTAATGAAATTCAGTATTAATGTTTCAACGTGATGTTAAGTGAAAACAGCATGCATACTTTTGCACGTACCTGGGTGTTCGCATTTAGCTGCAACTTGCATTTAGTAAAAAGCAGATGCAGGCTTAGGAGGGGCTCTTCTGTTCTTGTCTCTGTCTGCTAAAAAGCTTCTGAAATGTTTCTTAGGTCAAGAATACAATTTTCTGAAGATGGAGCCTGGAGAAGTAAACTCACTTGGAGAAAGATACGATTTTGACAGTATCATGCACTATGCCAGGAACACCTTCTCAAGGTTGGAGTCTCAGGTTATACCTTTTGACTTTTAATTCCTTTCCTCCGTGTGGCTCCTGACAAAGCTATGCTTAACATTAGAACTTGAAGCTCTTTCAAATACTGTTGCCCTCAAGTACAAAAATACTCAATTAAGGTTTATAGCCAACACCAGCATTTGAGATTTTAAAAACATGTTTTCACATTTCCTATCAAATACATTCAGATTAAAAATTAAAATGGTATGAATTAATTAAAACTATTTTATATTCCTAAGTCAATTTTAAAAGTCCAATGAGAATTATTATTAAACCAATCAGTATTTTAAATTGGCATAGCATCATTTAAGGAAACTTAGGCAGGGGCGCCTGGGTGGCGCAGTCGGTTAAGCGTCCGACTTCAGCCAGGTCACGATCTCACAGTCCGTGAGTTTGAGCCCCGCGTCAGGCTCTGGGCTGATGGCTCAGAGCCTGGAGCCTGTTTCCGATTCTGTGTCTCCCTCTCTCTCTGCCCCTCCCCCGTTCATGCTCTGTCTCTCTCTGTCCCAAAAATAAATAAAAACGTTGAAAAAAAAATTAAAAAAAAAAAAAAAGGAAACTTAGGCATTCACAAATCATATAGGGTACTTGGTTGTTGAGTTGGAATGTTTATTCTCTATTTAAGTTGTGTTCGCTACTGTGTATTTTCTATTGCTCAACTACTAGTTATGCTTGAAAGGTGCTTAACTAATTTAATTCTCAAAGAACATATTATGAAGATATTTTGCCTCATGTAATTTAGAATTTCACCACTTATTAACCTTAAATTCATTAAAGATTTAATGCTATTTTTAAAGAACGCAATAAATTTCGGTTTCAGTAACTTTATTCTAAAGATGACGTCATCATGGGGCGCCTGGGTGGCGCAGTCGGTTAAGCGTCCGA